TTTTTTCAATTTGGTGTAAAAGGGGAACATGATTTTTGCCAGGTTTTCAACCGTTTTTGCACTTTTGATCCTTTTTGCTGCCTTCCATCAACCTGGCCATATGCACATGTATTGTTCCCATATCCTTATCCTTGATTAATTCTGTTAGGTACACACAACATCAAGATCAAAATAAATATTTCACTTACTAGGACCAAAATACACACTAATTATTTTTTTATAATACAAATTCCCACACTCTTATAATTCACTAACTGACATTCACACTCCAATGTGATAATGGAACACCTATTTATACTATTATAAGGAACAATCTAGTATGCCTGTTACCATTTGCCATCTCTTAATTTCTAGATAATTCTAACATTATTTAATTGTCTAACTTATTGGTCATATATCGAATTAGCTTGCCACCATTTAGAAGTTGCTCCATAATTCTAGAACCCAAAGTCCGTGCTGTCTAAAAAATATTTATTAATTTTCTTATTTATTATATGATATGATCAGTCGTATATTGTCTACTTGGAGCACATAATCATGGTCCAGATGTGACTACTGCTGATTACCAGCGTGTGAAAGATTCACACATGGAGTTGCTCACTTCATTCTTGGGAAGGTCTAATTGCAATTATTATCTATTATTAATTTCAATGAAAAGAAAATTGGCACAAGTTATAAATTTATAATATTTTGTGTGCTTAGTTTGATTTTGTTGCCAAACACGTTTCATGCATGCAGTGAGCAAAAGGCTAGAGATTCCATGTTTTACTCATACAACAAGAGACATGTAAATAACTTTGCTGCACTTCTTGAAGAAGAAGAGGCTGCTGAGATTGCTAGTATATACCCCCAAATTAATATTCAATTATTCATATATTCAATATGTTCTATTTTTATTTTATTTTATCTTTACAATTGACTTTTATTGATTTTTTTTTTTTGGTTACATAAATGTAGAGCACCCAAATGTGGTATCAGTACTAGAGGACAAAGATAGAAATATGCACACAACTCATTCATGGGATTTTTTTGGACTGGAAAAGGATGGCTCTGTTAGTCCTTCTTCCCTTTGGGAGAAAGCTCCATATGGTGAAGATACCATTATTGCAACACTTGACACCGGTAACATTAAAATCAAATAAATTAAAAATTCATTCTTTTTTCCACGTAATTGCTGTTACTTTTCATTGTTGGTTTATTATGTCTCTCGGGTACAGTGTTTTTGCATCATTATTTTAATAACCATGTAATATTTTTACACTAACTGTGCGACACTTTATCACTAACCTTGCAAACTGAACACAACTAAACATTGCAAAATAAAAACAACTAACCCTGCAACAAGATAGAACTCACTTTGCAACTACAAACAACTAATTTGCAACTAGAGAAAAGTAACATTGCAGCTAGACAAAACTAACCTTGCAACTAAAGATGTGTAGTTGCAAGGTTAGTTCTATTTAGTTGCAAGGTTAGTTATGTCTAGTTGCAAGTTTAGTTCTGTCTAGGTGCAATGTTAGTTTTCACTAGTTGCAAGGTTAGTTTCTGTAGTTGCAAGGTTAGTTGTCTGTAGTTGCAGGGTTAATTGTATCTACTTGCAAGGTTAATTATTTGCAGTTGCAAATTTAGTTGAGGTAGTTGCAAGTTTAATTATATGCAGTTGCAAAGTTAGTTGTCTGTAGTTGCAAGTTTAATTATCTGTTTTTGTAAGGTTGTTTGCTTTTTTAGTTGCAATGTCAACGGTCAACGCCGGAAGTCAACGGTCAACACCGGAGTCAACGGTCAATTGTCAAAATAATATTTAAATAAAAATAAAAATTAAATAATAAAAATAAAAAATTATTATTTAAATGAAGAGTTAAATCTTGACCACACATCTTGTACCAATCTAGTGGCTAGAAATAAGTCTTACGTACTCACTTTAAATAAGTGGATGCAATATAACCAATCCCTATATATATAGATTATTCCCTCGTAAACATTTTTTTTTTTTAAAGATAGGGTATATAAGTGTTCAAAATCCTAATCCTATATACAAATCACTAATTGACCACGCGTCGCGACCCACAAGGAGTGTGTAATTTAATTGTACTTATTCTCTTTAATTAAAACCACGGAGATAATACTAGGAGGTGGGGGTTGTGTGAACTAATTAACCACTACAATTTACGAAATAATAGAATTAAATAAAATGCAACAAATAAGAATGATTTTTCCAATGAATGGGGAAGTTTCTAGTTCACGGTTCCGTCTACACCCTCGACTGACTCGTCTAATCAATTTTTGTATCAAATTTCGCTATCTCATGGAATTACTAGCCCCAGGTACGACACGGTCTGTTACCCGAATTTTTCCTTAATTTTAATTTAACCGCGAGATGCTCTACGATTAAAACTGACTTCTTGAACAGTCTAGGAAACGTTTCCTAAATTTAATTCAATTAGCCGCTTTACGATTTAGAAAAATAGGCTAGACTAATTAGTGAACTCAACCGCATTCGTTCACTTAATTAGGCCGTGTTATCCCCGATAATTACCATCTTCCGGTTAACTCTTAGGAATTAAACACAACAACAATTACGGATTGAATGTCTAATTCAGATGTAGATATGCAAAGCCTAATCTAGGTGATCAATCTAAACAAAACTAAACACATCATGGTGAGTTATTCAAAATAACACAAGCAATTCCAAAGAGATATTAAAATCATCAACTATATAATCAATCAAACATAGTCAATCATAAGGGTTCGACTTCCCTGAGACTAGAATAAAAGAACTACTCACTACGCATAATGTTCAAAAACATGCTCATAAATTGATTACACGAGAGAAAGAAAAAGAAAAGAAAATAATAAATCTTCTCGATTCCAATGCTATCTGCCTCGTTGCTCTGCTTTCCTCAATCAGTTCTCTTTTCCAGCCTCTGTTCAATAATAGGTCAAGCCGCAATGTCTGTGTTAATTAATCTCCTTGCTCAGGTTTCTTTTTCTCTCCAATCCTCTTGGTCCACATGGCAACCCAATAAAATAATATGGATTTTTATTTAATTTTCCCATCCAGCAGACGTGGCCCACTTCTTCTAACACAAAATATGTAGGCCCAATTATATTAATTTCTCTAAATCATCTAACATAAGTTGCATGGCCTGCTGCGCAATACGGGGCCGTCTGGTTCAGTACGGGGCTCCCCCGTGCTCGATGGAAAACAACTTCTTCATGCATCTCTTATCATCGTGCACTTGGAAATAGTTCCTAAAATTGTGAAAAACACTAAAAACCTCATAACGGCACGAGAATTGATTTTAATATCAAATAAGTCAGAAAGTGCATAAATCCGAGAAATTAAACGTGCACAATCACAATATTAGACAACTAATGCAAGCACATTTCTTGACTAATCACTAATTTAGATTCAACAATCTATATATATATAATTGTTGGCATATAACATTTAATAAAACTTAATTAATAAAACCTCTATTCATTTTCCCGCTCATTTTTCAGTTAATGTAGAAACATTACTTTTTACATTAATAAAGTGTAATATTAATATTTTTAAACTAATTTATTTATAATATTACTACTAACATTAACTGATTATAACTTTACATAAAGAAATTGTATTACAATTTTTTTTAAATACTTTTCTAAAATAAAATTATTTTGTCTTTTTAAACAATTTTTATCTAATACTAGTTAATGGGCATCTGTGTCATAATTAAACACCTTAAAATCATATAAAAAATTGTTATAACAATGATAAAAATAGTTGTAATACTTTTTTACTGATTAATTGTATGGCCCCTCTAAATTACTAAATTTAATTATTCATTAAAATTTATGGGATCAATATAAAAATTCATACGTAAGTTAAATAATTTGTATTTACATTACACATTTACATATAAGTTAAAATTTAAAATGTAATACATCAATTATCTTATATAAAATTTATACAACGTATACATACATATAATATATAAATTTTTATTTTTCTTTGTGCAAGTGCACAGGATGAATACTAGATAAAAATGCTAAATATATTAATACTGAAAGTGAGTTGTGTTACGTACCATCAAATATGTTGTAGATCCAAAAATGTAAATTTTGAAGTATTAAATTTAGGGCATAAAAAAATAAAATTATTATTATGATAGAATATTGCACGATATAATAGTTGGACTCACTAATTTAGAATTCTAATCCCTCTAATAAAGTACGTACATAGGTAATTGAATTCAACCAAGTCTCTAACTTAGGAAAAATCATATTATATGATTAATGACTCTTTATTTTATTAATGATTCTTATATTTTTTTTGATTAATTAATAGACTTCTTTCTATTCCAGGACTCATATTTTGAATAGTTCTGCTATTAATTGGATTCTTTTACAAAACTGCATACAAATATCAGCGTTTTCTATTCGAGTACCTTCTTCATTCATGTAAAAGCAGGCAGCCATGATTTTTTCAAAGTTTTCAGTTCTTGCACTGTTGCTGATCCTTCTTGTTGCCTTCCACGAACCAGCTTTGGCCATTAAAAAGGTACAATTTATATTGTCCTGCTCCTCATTAAATGCTACGGTCTCGTTACGAAACCATTCTGTTGGGGATTGTAACCGTTATTAGATCATCATGTAGCCGTCGGGAGCAGTTGATCTAAACCCCGACGTAATGGTTCCCTAACGGGACCGTAGCATCTCCCAAAAGTTTGATTTGTTAATAATTTTCTTACATATGTATTCTTTGATCATCAGTCATATATTGTCTACTTGGGGGCACATAATCACGGTCCAGATGTCACTACTGCTGATTACCAGCGTGTGGAAGATTCGCACACCGAGTTGCTCACTTCATTCTTGGGAAGGTATAATACAATTATTTTTTATATATATATATTTATAATATTTTGTGTGCTTATTAGTTTGATTTTGTTGTCAAATACGTTTCATGCATGCAGTGAGCAAAAGGCTAGAGATTCCATGTTTTACTCATACAAGAGGCATATAAATGGCTTTGCTGCACTTCTTGAAGAAGAAGAAGCTGCTGAGATTGCTAGTATATATATATATATATATATACAAGCATATTACTATTTGTATAATCTTTTTAATCATGTTTATGATTTATTTTATAATGATTTTTAATTAACTTTTGGTTACATAAATGTAGAGCATCCAAATGTGGTATCAGTACTAGAAAACCAAGAGAGAAAGCTGCACACAACTCATTCATGGGAGTTTCTTGGACTGGAAAAGGATGGCTCTGTTAGTCCGTCTTCCCTTTGGGAGAAAGCTCGGTATGGCGAAGATACCATCATTGCAACGATTGATTCCGGTAAATAATTAATTAAAGATAAGCAAATAGCTAGTCAATATTTTATTTTTTTTTAGCAACTTACATTTCATGGTTTATTATCTTCGGTTTGTAGCCGTTAGATTAACTGTCTAACTATCTATGACCGATCTAGTTAATCAATTGTGTTCCGTAACGGGACCTTAGCATTTTCCTATGTTTGTAATTAATCAATTGTGTTCATCTTTATATTAAATGTTAACTAATAATTAGGTGTTTGGCCTGAATCAAAGAGCTTTAGTGACGATGGGATTGGACCCATTCCTTCCAAATGGAAAGGTACCTGTCGGTTTGAAGGCCATAAGCAACATCTTTGCAACAGGTACGTGCATGCTGTGATAAAAAATCATTAATAAAATTAATTTCTTTTAATATGTTAATTAATTTCGTATCAGTTAAATGAAATAATGTTTAATTTTATGTGCGTTGATCATGCAGAAAACTGATTGGGGCCAAGTACTTCGGCAAGGGGTACGAAGCAGGCATGGGGAAGCCCCTCAACTCATCATTCCAAAACGCGCGCGACTCGGAGGGCCACGGGACCTGTAACGGATAATTTAGGGAAGATATTTTCTGTACTTATTTTTAGTATCTAAATAT